TTGATCGCTATAAAAGCGAGATGTCCAGGGTGATTGACACAATCGCTCCCGAACGCCCCATCACATTACGTCAAGACACACCATCCCCTTGGTTCACCGAGGATTGGCTGTGATGAAACGTGCGAGAAGGGGGCTAGAGTGCATATGGAGGAAATCCCGAGACGTATCTGCATCTAATAGATCTTCAGAGTTGTTTCGGGTTGTCGGAGAACTCCTTCACCCTCCTGAGGTAGAGGAGGCCTTCGATGACCCGACAACTCGGTGCTGCGTGTTTGCGCACTATTTTGCAGACAAAATTTTGCAGATACGCCTTGAGCTGGACTCCAATTTCATCACAGTGCCAGGGGAGGTAATCGAGGCATCTGCTTGTTCGATTTTGTGGGATTCCTTTCGACTTGTTTTTCCTGAGGATGTGGAGGAGGTCCTTGGTGCTGTGAGGGCGACCACGTCGGCCCTGGACCCTTGCCCGTCTTGGCTAATTAAATCGGCCAGGGATGGGTTGATTGATTGGTTTGTGTTGATCATTAATGCATCGTTGGAGCAGGGGATTTTTCCATCCCGATTAAAACAGGCTGTGGTTCGACCACTCCTGAAAAAGACTTCCCTTGACTCCACGGTGCTGAGCAACTACAGACCAATCTCCAACCTTGCTTTTTTGGGCAAGGTGCTGGAGCAGGTGGCTGCCTCTCAGCTCCAGGGCTTTTTGGATGACATCAGTTACCTGGACCAGTCACAGTCTGGCTTCAGGCCTGGCCACGGCACCGAGGTGGCTTTGGTCGCCTTGGTGGATGACCTCCGCAGGGAGCTGGACAGGGGGAGTGTGATCCTGCTGGTTCTCTTTCGATACCATCGATCATGGTATCCTTCTGGGATGACTCTCCGAGATGGGTCTTGGAGGCACGGTTCTGTCATGGCTCCAGTCCTTCCTGGAAGGCCGTTCCCAGATGGTGAAGCTGGGAGACGCCTGCTCGGACCCCTGGCCTTTGACCTGTGGGGTCCCGCAAGGTTCCATTCTGTCTCCCATGCTTTTCAACATCTACATGAAACCGCTGGGAGAGGTCATCCGGAGTTTCAGAGTTGGGTGCCATCTCTATGCAGATGACATGCAACTCTACTACTCTTTTCCACCGAACTCCAAGGAAGCCCCTCGGGTGCTGGACGAGTGCCTGGTCACTGTGGCTGTCTGGATGAGGAGGAACAAGCTGAAGATTAATCCTGACAAGACAGAGGTCCTCCTGGTCGATCGTAAACCAGATCGAGGAATAGGGTGGCAACCTGTGCTGGACGGGGTTACATTCCCCCTGAAGTCACAGGTCCGCAGTTTGGGTGTCCTCCTGGACTCATCACTTACGCTTGAAGCTCAGGCGTTGGCGGTGGCCGGGAGGGCCTTTGCACAATTGAGACTCGTGCGCCAACTGTGATCGTACCTTGTGAAGGCGGATCTGGCCGGGGTGGTCCATGCCTTAGTCACCTCCAGATTGGACTACTGTAATGCACTCTATGTGGGGCTGCCCTTGAAAACAGCCCGGAAATTTCAGTTGGTTTAACGGGCGGCTGCCAGGTTGTTAACTGGTCCTCCTTACAGGGAGAGGTCAATCCTCCTGTTTAAGGAGCTCCATTAGCTGCTGTTCATTTTCCGGGCCCAATTCAAGGTGCAGATGCTTACCTACAAAGCCCTAAACTGTTTGGGACCTGTCTACCTGCGTGACCGCATTTCCGTTAACAACCCACACGATCTCTTTGTTCATCTGGAGAGGCCCTGCTCATGATCCCACCTGCATCTCAAGCGCGATTGGTGAGAACGAGGGATAAGGTCTTCTCGGTGGTGGCCCCACGACCCTGGAACTCCCTCCCCAAGGACATCAGGCATGCCCCAACATTGGCAGTCTTTAGAAGGAGCTTGAAAACATGGATGTTCCAGTGCGCCTTCTCAGAATAAGGAATCCCAAGCAATATGTCCCAAATGCACTTTACGAGAGACTTAGGATTGTCTGCACACCCTATCCCTAAAATACCCATCCTATTTCACTTGGACATGCTCAGCATTTTTAAATTTTAATCATTACATTTGGCCCTGCCACAGGTTTTTAAATGCGTTGTGATATTATTGTTATTGTTTTGCTTTGTTATGAGTTATTTATTGTTGTATTGCTTGTTGTTGTGTTTTACTGATTTATTGATCTAATTGGGCTTGGCCTCATGTAAGCCGCACAGAGTCCTGCGGGAAATGGTAGCAGGGTACAAATAAAGGTTTATTATTTTGATTATGATTATGATTATGATTATGATTATGATTATTACTTTGCCCGGGGAGATACGCTCGTTCTGCACCTCTATGGTACGCCTCCTGGAGACATCTTGGGGGTTCCCTTTGAAAGGGTCCATTGGGGTGGGTGGGAAGGCCCCCTAATTCCACCCAAATACATTCATATAGGGAGGAATTGTGGGTCGTTCTTCTCAGCCAAAAGGCATCCTCAGAGCAGCCCTGCAAGGGAAGCTTCAATGCATAGTGGCTTGGCAAGATGTTCAAGGGCATTGGGCTTGACCACTAATGCACACTTCATTTCCCAAATAGATAAGTGAAGTGGGAGAAAGACTGCCCCAGTGAATCCTATTAAGGGTTTCGAGGACACTGTGATAGACCAGTGCTCTCACAGTGGGCAGCCTTACTAGTATTGTGTAAACAACCGGTCTTTAGTGTGTACTACGTCTCCTAAATGGGTTATTAAAGTGGGAGAAAGTGTCGTTAAAGAGATTTTGGGGATGCTGCCATAATCAAGTGCTCTCACATTGGGCAACCCTACTAGTCTAGTGCAAACAACTGGTCCTTAGTGTGTACTACATATTCCAAATGGGTTAGTGAAGTGAGGGAAAGTGTCATTGAAGGGTTTTATGGGATGCTGCCATAGGCCAATGCTCTCAGATAGGGAAACCCATCTAGTCTAGTGTAAGGGACTTGTCCTTAGTGTGCACTACATCTCCCAAATGGGTTGGGTAGGTAGGACGAGCAGGTGCCATTCAGTTGTCTTTGGGGGCCTTTCCAGTCCAGGCCACAGGGGCTTATGGTCCCATTGGGAGTTATTGGATGGGGGCCCTCTCCAAGCCCCAAGCCCTGTGATACGTCTCCCAAGATGACTCCCTTTCTCCCCCTCCTTGCAGCCAAACAAAAGACCATGATGCAGGGCGTCATGCGGAAGTTCCTGGGTTTCGTGAAACGCGTGGGGATGGGGATGGAGCACCGTTTCAAATTGCGCAGAAAAGGTGAGCAGGGTTGTGTAGTCATTGGGAAGAGGAAGAGAGGTCACTTCCTCTCATCCAGAATCTCACGTTGCTTTCCTTTCACAGATATGTGCACAAATTTTTTTGTCCCCAAATACCTCACCCTATGCTGAGCTTTGAAGTTCTTTAGTAAAACTTGTTAAGCCTGTCCTTTTGAAGTTCAATGCTGAGTCAAGTTGCCTCTCCTTGGAGGCTGTTACAGCTAACTAAAATTGACTTTTAGTGAGGCGCAGAGCAGTGATCAATATCAATTTGCATTATTGTTAAGATATTAGTCAATTATCAATACACAATGTTGTTGCAAGTCAAAGCAGTGATTGATACACATTATGCAATTATTGTTAAGTACACTTGTTAAGCAGTTATCATTAGGGCCGGGCTGTAGCACAGTGAGCTAAACCGCCATCTGCAGAAAATCTTGCCTATCTAAAGGTTGACAGCTCAAGCCCCGGCTGGGGTGAACTCCTGCCATCAACCCAGCTTCTGCTCACAGCCTCCATATGCCGGAGATGGAAAAAGATGGGAAGCCTTTGCACCTGTTTATGTACTGTCTGTCTTTGCTAATTGTATAATGGCAATGAATATTTGCGGTATATGTGTACTGAGTCCCCTCGGGGAGATAGGGCAGAATATAAATGAAGTATATAATAATAACTAGCTATCCCCTGCTCTGCGTTGCTGTGGCCCAGTCTGCTGATCTGGAAAATAAAGTGATGAGAAAGTGTTGGTTTCTAATATATGTAATTTATTTATGCTTGTTGCTCCATCTTGTTGTTTTTTTGTCAGTGTTGATGTGGAGATTGTCTGGTCTGCCTACTCTGGAACATGCACCATATAATTGGCCTTCTTTTGGGGTCCCTTTCCAATCTATAATTCTATATATGTGTGTGTGTGTAAATCATATCTATCGATCTATATCTCATGGGTGGATGGCTCTTTGTCAGGAGGGCTTTGATTACGTTTTCTTGCCCTGGTGAAGGGAGTTGGACTGGGTGGCCTTAAGTATTTTCTGTGGGTCATGGGGGTTCTGTGTGGGAAGTTTATTTATTGATTTATTGATTTGCTTTATTTCTATACCGCATTTTTCAGCCCAGTCAGGTTTGCCCCAATTTGCCCCAATTCTGTCGTTGGTGGGGTTCAGAATGATCTATAAATCCCAGTAACTACAACTCCCAAATGTCAAGGTCTGTTTCCTCCAAACTCCATCTGTTTCGGCATATTGAGTATTCGTGTAGAGTTTGGTCCAGATCCATCATTGTTTGAGTCCACAGTGCTCTCTGGCTGTAGGTGAACTAAAACTTCCAAACTCAAGGTCAATGCACACCAAACCCTTCTGGTGTTTTCTGTTGGTAACGGGAGTCCTGTGTGCCATCATTGGTGGAGTTCAGAATCCTCTTTGATTGTAGGTGAACTATATAAATCCCAGCAACTACAACTCCCAAATGACAAAATCAATTTTTTTGAGTGATGGTCACCCCTTGGGTTAGTAGGTGTCCTGTGGTCAAATTTGGCGGCAATTCGTCCAGTGGGTTTTGAGTTATGTTAATCCCACAAACAAACATTACATTTTTATTTATATAGATGATAATAATTATTATAATTATAAATATCACAGAATTCCAACCTATGTCTCTTCAGGTCGAAGGATGTGGTGATCCATCATCGCCCACCCCTTGGCAGCCTGACTTTATGGCAGCATTTAGGGACAAAACGGCTTGTTCTCGGCAGAACGAGGGCTTCTGATAACTTGGGTGGATCGGCTTGGGTGATCAATGGGGACATCAAGGGATATAAAGGCCAATGCGGAGCTCAAAGGGCAGCCATCGTGGACCCAAAGGCAGCCCCAAAGATGTCCGCAGCAGCCTCCCTGAGCCAAATCGTGCCCATTCTGCTGGGCCTCCCTTTCCTGACCTTGGCATCCGACATCCCCGTTCAATCAAACTTTGACGTTAAAAAGGTAAACATCTCAGTGAAGGTAATACATTCCAAACAGACAGTGGGTTCATTGCCTCCCATTGATGGAGTTAATCCTTGACCAAGAATTAATCATAAATACTTTTTCCAAGTGATTGATTGATTTGTGTGTTTTCTCCCCCAGTTTGAGGGAGATTGGTTCCCCATCGGGGTGGTGGGCAAAGATGCCCCGGTTCACGAACTCTCTAGTCACAAGTACAACGTATTTGCAAAACGGCACACGGGCATCATATTGTACCAGTACTTTTTCAAGTAAGTTCTGATGCATCTTTTTCTAATGCAAGTGGCATTTGCAAGAGATTGTTGGGTTCCCACCAGATGCTGGAGGGTTTGTAGTTCACCAGGGTACTCTCGCTTAGAAAGGCCTGCAAAACAACAGCAAACAAAGCCACGTTATGTGGCGCTGCCTCCGTTTTCCTTCTTAATGCTGCACAAGGAAACAACTTCCTTTAAAATAATTTTGGTGAATGTCTCCAGCAAGAACAAGTCCAGACCCTATTAGATCTTACAGGCTTCTGAGGGTGGGAAATATACGAGGGTTGAATGAAAAGTAATGCCTCTACCTTCGTAACGCCTCAACAGATGGCAGTACTGGTATGCGGCAGGTACTGGCTTGTTCAATAGACTCTCCTCTACAGTTCCATTTTGTTGGGAAGCCTTAGCATTGAACAGTTGTGTTGAAATATATGAGGGTTGAATGAAAAGTAATGCCTCTACCTTCGTAACGCCCCAACAGATGGCAGTACAGATTCATCAGAGAATGCAAGCAGTTTATGGTGATTGTGCTGGTGTGAGTACTGTGCGTCATTGGGTTGTTGTTTTTTTTTGTCATGTCAGGAGTGACTTCAGAAACTGCAAGTCGCTTCTGGTGTGAGAGAATTGGCAGTCTGTAAGGACG